ACATCTCTAGTTGCAGACCATTGACTTTTTAGCCCTCTATGGGTCATATATTCACAGGTCGGGGGTGTAGCCTCAACCCCCATCCCACATTGAGATGTTTATATATAAAAAAAGTAATAGTAATGCACTGGGCCATATCCAATCAATGGGTAATGCATTGTTTAATTTTTTATTTTTTTATTTTTTTTTTCTGACTAGATTGTTTATTTTGGCTTGGGCTTTTTATATTACAAGTTCTAAATGTCTCTGAAGCCTGAATGCATAAATCGGAACCTAATCATCTATTGTTAACTATGTAATTATAGTACATGGGCCGTGGGTGCTGGACAGGTAAAGGAGGCGGTGGCCTCAAACGATGGGGTGGTGCACAACCTGTCCAGTCTCTCGTCGTGAGTCTACCCAGGGCGGTGAGTAGAGAGAGGTGTTTGTCAACCTGCAAAATAATGTGAGCACAAGAAAATTTAATATCCCTATGATTCGCATTATTCTTTTATGTCCAGGTGGCCCATAGGATCAGACAAGAAATAAGGAAGCCCACGTGTCTACTGTGTGTGCGGTGCGAGAAAAAACTCAGTAGCTTAGAATAACTGTCTGTAGTGGGTAGAGGTATATGAGTATATCTGACATAGTGCTCCCACACTCTCCTCACAATCTCACTCTCAAGGAAAAGGTGGGTGAAAGTCTCGATCTCAAAGGTCCCGGTCTCAGCACAACAATGTCAACGAGAGGGGAAGGAGAACCTTCTCGCCTGCATCACAGTGTCAATGGAAATGCGCCGTAATAGTAGGCGCCACAAAAGGACGGAAATAGTCGGGGTGAGTAGGTCGGTCCAGATGGCCCCGAAAAGGAAGTTAGGCCGGTTGCCCAGCCTCACATCTCCCCAGGCCGATGACGTAGAGAATGCACCCGAAGATGTGTCTCCACCTCATGCTATCCAAACCTCCCTCCAGAATGAGAATCTGTCGGATCTGGTAAATCTCTAGTCTACTGAAACCCCCACCCTCACCAAGAATATCCTCAATCTTATCTCTATCCCAAACACCCCCCGTCCAAAGGTCCTTCACCTGCATGAAAGGCAGGTGAGTGACCGGCCTAATACTCGATAGGGGGACCTCGCCGAACCACCACTCATACCAGAAGCTAACCTCCCCAGAACCTAAGGTCCAAAATAAGTGCTTCTGAGTACGCCTGCCAACAATGGTGAGTTGTATTCACTGTCTACTATTACTTGAATCAGTATGATAGAATGTTTGGTTTAAACTTTTAATGGAATCAGTAAGTTGATTGTTTTTTAATGGAATCAATACTCTTTGGATGAATTTATATATTGTTTCATTTTATACCAGTCTCAAATGATACCGATCTATTTGGGAGGTGTCATATTCTGGACCGTTCTGAGACTGGTTCAAAAAAGCATGACAGGTACCGGAACAAGTCAAATCCTGAATCGTCCCCGACCGTGCCCATCCCTAAGTTGATATGATAAAAGTGTTTGGTAAAATAGCTCAAATAAAAATTTCAACAAACTAATTTGAAA